TGCCACAGAGGGCATCTCTAGGATCTTGTTTCCTTGGCGTGTGTGGTGGCTTGACCTTGTTCAGCAGCCAGACCCCCACCCAGCTGCTCACTCACTCTCCCTCCTCAACAGGACAGGGGGAGAAAATCAGATGAAAAAGCTCATGGGTTGAGATAGATACGGAGAGATCACTTACCAATTGCCGTCACAGGCAAAACAGACTTGACTTTGGGAAAATTAATTTAACTTATTGACAAATAAAAGGGATTTGGATGTCTGCCCAAGGTCTCCAGGGTGGCATTTGCAAGCCCACGGTCCCAGAACACCTCTGGGGCACTCAGGAGACAAGGCATTTTGTGGCTGTGCTGCTGTAGCATCACTCCTGTGAGTCCTGGGTCTGGCAGCTACGGTTTCATGGCTGTGCAGGTACACCTGGAAAAGAGGCTGTGGGATTTACCCACTTCTGCATTTTAGTCCTCTCCCTTGGTGCCAGAGACATTGGACGCTGGCACCTGGTTGTGAGTCTGCTGGCCTCCAATGGCCTGGCTTGATGCTACTAGGTATCTGGAATGGGTAGCCCAGAGAGGTGGTGGAGGCCCCACTCCTGGAAACGTTCAAGACCAGGTTGGACGGGGCTCTGAGCAACCTGATTGAGTTAGCGGTGTCCCTGCTCACTGCAGAGGGGTTGGACTGGATGACCTCTAGGGGTCCCTTCCAACCCAAAGCATTCTATGATTCTATGATCTTCACCTTCATCTAATCAATTTTGGTTGTGGCTCCCTCATTTTGCCACACTGTTGGTATGTTCAGGTCAGATGGTCTTGCGGCAATTGCTAACAGCAAACTACCTGGCAGCATTTGAAAGCACGTGGGGTGGCATTCATTTCACTAGATGTTGGTTGTCCACAGTGCAAACTTCTACAACCATTACAGGCCGCATGTGGGGAGGGATGGGGAACTTGTGAATGCAAAATACCAGACCTATTTTAGCTGGCTGGTTCAGGAGGAGATGATTCGTGCCCTGAAAGTGCCTATTTCTCTACACCGACTGTGAAGGGAGCCAAGGGTGCTTTGCTCCATCATAGGTGACTACTAGAGACTTCTACAGGAGTAGGCTCAATCTCAGTGTTAGAGATTTTGTGATCTCCAGCTGCTGTAGCCAGTTTGGGCCGTGGAATTAATGCTGGCTCAGTAAAAGAGTGCTGCCTCCAGTCCCGTGTCCCTGCTTTGCCTCCTCACCTCTTCCCCCTGAGCCAGGGAAAGGCAGGTGGGAAAGGGCAGCTCTCCATGATGGAGAGGTTGTGCAGCTGCACAGTCTTGTCCGCTGCACGCGACACTGGGCTGATGCCACACCATGCTTGGCAAATAAATGGAATTTAATTGATAGGTCTGCATCAGTTTCTGAAGTGTGTCAGAAAAAACCTCAGTCACGTTAATCAAAAAATAAAAATAAAAAAATCTAGGACATACACAAAGAAATAGCATCGATGGAGCAAACGTTTGATTAGCCTAGGAGCTAAGCCTTGGGCTCCCCTCTTCACTCATCTGCACTTTGGATAATACGTGCTCTTATCTGATGTAGCTTGGGGATTTCCCTCACCTAATTTTAGGCATAAAAGTTAAAGGACTCTGGGCTGCTGCGCCTTGCCCTTACAGGCAAAGGGGAGATAAGGAGCTCTAGTGATTCGCCTGAGCTGTCCCCATTGCCTGTCTCCAAGCCCAGACAAGAAGCTCTCAGAAGAGGTCCATATCTTTCCACTAACCACAGACTCCCTGCAAAGTGACTGGCTCAGATTTAAATGCTGAGTGGATGAATCCCACATTTTACTGGCAGCAGGCAGCATCCCAGACCTGACAGATCCCAGACCCCAGCGAGACTGTAGCTGCTGCCTGTTGAAAGCTGCTCTGAGAATGGGAACAGGTGACTTTATTTCCCCCTCCATTTCAAGATAGACTGACACTGGGGTGGCCCGAACTCCTGGTTAGGCAGCGATGAGCATCGACCCACCTGCAGAAGCGCACAGGCTCCGTTGCAGACAACAGCATGAATTCGGCATCTCAACCCAACATGATGGACTGCCCCTCAGCTGCGGTTACCTCCTGCCAGCCTCCCCCAGGAGAGCCTAGGGACCTGCTGTGGAGGTCTTGCAGTAGGTATCCCAGGCTTTCAAACTAGATGACAAAGCTTCTGAGACTGCCCTGCTTTTTTGATGGAGAGCCTTTCCCTCCCTGGGTTCAGAGTTATGACTAATTACTTCACATGCGGGCTTGCTGCTCTGCATCACTGACGATTAGCCGGCAGGGAGGCTCCCAGCCTTCCTTCTCAGCGCCCACCCTTCAGGCCCAACTACCGTCCTAAATTTAACCAGGACGACCCTCTGAGTTCATTAGATGCATCGTGATTTTTACTGCCAGGTTTAGATGACTTGCCAGAGTCGCTCACCTATTTTGCTGACCATAAAAGCTGCATCACAGACGCTGCTTCCCAGTTGAGTCCTGCATCAGCCTGATTTCAATTCCCTTCAAGTACAGTCTCTGAAGCTCTCTGCCCACCACAAATCTTCACGCAGCAGCTTTTATGAAGCCCCTGTTAAAACTCAGACTGTGTGTGCATGAAAACTTGGTCAGGCTCTGCCACGCTTGCTATGTGGGCTTGAGAAAGCTGGAAGTAAGGGAAGAAAGGGAATTTCTGCCGGTTGAGGGAAATGCAGGTGGGATGCTGTTTTCTACTTACATTTTGAGACGCAAAGTCTAATAGGGCCTTGTTTATGTCTAAGAAGGCTTTATGTTTTCTTTGTGAGTCCTCTTCTGTATATGTGTACCATACTAATTAGACATATAATTGAAGAATCCATGATAAAAACCAAGAGCTTTGTCATGTGTAAATTTCTGGGGTTTTGATTTGTACAAAATGCAAAATTATATACTCCAAGCGAGTAGGAGTTCTTCCTTTTGGAAAAGTTCAGTCCAATATTAAAACTCCTATATAAGTGTAATCTCTTGTTAGAAACATTTTTTTGAACACGGAAAGAAATGCTCGTGCTTAATTTGTTTCATTCACTGCTCATTCAATACGTGATTTCAGCAGAGGGATTTGAGATCTGCTTTTAACTTGAAAACTGGAGGGGAGGGAATTTCAAAGCTCTGCATGATTTTTTTTTTTTTTTTTCCAAGCCTTTGTCATTTCTCGGAGGCGGCAAAACATGCAGCTGTGTTGGGTCTGGCTGAGATGGAGTTAATTTTCCCCCTAGCAGCCCTCACAGTGCTGTGCTTTGTATGGGTAGCTGGAAAGGTGTTGATAACACACCAGTGTTTTGGCTACTGCTGAGCAGTGCTCCCACAGCATCCAGGCTGAATCTCCAACATTTCCCTGCTTCACCAGTAGGCTGGGGGTGGGCAAGATGTTGGGAGGGGACATAGCCAGGACAGCTGACCCAAGCTGACCAAAGGGGTATTCCATACCATATGGCATCATGCTCAGCAATAAAAGTGAAGAGAAGGGGGGGGAGCATTTGCTATTATGATGTTTGTCTTCTAGAGCAACCACTGCATCTACTGAAGCCCTGCCTCCTCAGATGTGGCTGGACATCACCTGCTGATGGGAAGTAGAGAATAAAATCTTTTCTTTTCCTTTGCTTCCGCTGACAGCCTTTGCTTTTATTAAACTGCCTTTATCTTGATTTTTTCCATCTTCTTTTCTTCCCCCCGCCCCATCCCACCGAGGAGGGGAGTGATAGAGCGGCTTGGTGGGCACCTGGCATCCAGCCAAGGTCAACCCACCACAGTAGCACAGACATCATCATCAACAGCTATTTTTTCTCTGCTTTATGCACAAATACAAACCTATCCTTTTCTTTGGGGTATAAACCACATGCAAAAATGCAAGTTACTGTCCTTTAGTAAGGCTGCCTTAACAAGACATAAATATATAAGCACATACCTATGCAGCTTGACCCAATTCAACATCCCAGCCAGATCAGAAAGCAAAGTGCTCAAGTAGCTGCCGATGCAACGATATTCTCACAGCCTGAACGCTCGCATTGATGGACATAGTTTCATTTGCTTTGCTGAAATTACACCGCATCCCACCAGTGAAAGGACGGGGCTGGAAGAGCTCAGACTGGGTAGCGAAACGCAAAGGCCAGCTTTGTCCCACAGCCCTCCTTTCCACCCTGCAACCCATCGTTAAAACCTCTAGAGCTAAACCTCCCGTGAGGTATTGCCGGAGATGAAGGGTGGGGGAGACTGGTAGCGGCACCATTCATGGTCCTCCCCACTGCATTTCTCAGCACAAAATACTTCTGTTGACCTGTAAAGACCTCTATGCTCTGAAGCACGAAATCCATGAACAGATCCCACCGACACATCACAAAACCTTTATTAGTGTTTATCAGTGACACAGATTACAGGAACCAAAGGCAATTAAATAACATTTAACTTTAAGTTGACCACAGACTCAAGAAATACAAGTCACATTTGGCAAGGCAAACTTCTCAGTATACTGGGTTGCTTAGGGTATTATTACACTGTGGAAGAGGAATTTCCCTTACAAGGTTCTACATATTCAGGATATTGTTATTATTGTGTCTTTCACACAGTTCCTTTGGCAAGAATTCCCATTTTTTTAAGCTTTTATTATATAAAAATATAACCAATTTTCATTATGTACAAACATTTTACATTACACAATGTACAGGTTAAAAACACTACAAAAAATGGCAGGCCATGGGTGAACCAAAACCAAAAAAAAAAAATCCAATGTAGAAAACATGAAAAAAGAAATTTAAATACTGCACATTTCATAAAAATTACATTAACTACAAACAATTTTTTTTTTTTGTTTGCAAATATCAAACAGTACTGACGTGATTGGAAATCTTTCCCAACAACTTCATTTTTAAGGCACATCTTGCATATTTACACGTACGACACCGGGTCTGGTCAATAACTTAAAGGCTCTCGGGAGTGACCTAGTCGTGTGCGCGCAGGGACGTGTGTGCTCGGGCGGGGAGCGTGTTGGGCTACGCTTTCTCAGCTGTGTCAGTCTGGGGGCCCAGGTATCTAGTCGAGGGGGCTGGGTAGAGGGGCACCCCGATCTCCTGAAGGTCGGGGAGCCGTGCGGGGCGCGGTGGGGAGAGCAGCGTGATCGTCCGGTCAAAGTCCCTGTGCAGCACTTTCTCGTAGACGCTCTGAAGCCCCACTGTTTTGGGCAGCTGGGCTTGGTAAAAGTTGTCCCTGCGAAGGGGATCCCTGGGCAAGGACGTGCTCTTGCAGAAGGTGGAGAGGGGTGCCGAAGGATGGGGAGAGGGGTGAGGGTTGGCTCGGCCGCAGGAGGGGCTCCAGCAGCGGTCCGAGTGGCCCAGGATCTTGCACTCAGCCGTACATGCCCACAGACCTAATGGGGGGGGGGGGGGGTGAGAGAGAGAGAGAGAAGGAGAAACCTGTCGTTACTGCAGGAATAAATCCACATCGCTCATAATCCTCGGAGTTATCAGTCACGGGATGATTCAATGCACTGACAGCGGGAAACGGGAGGCAATGCTCTATGGCACAACGAAAAAACATGCTTGGGAAGGTTATGTCGTTTTGCTAGGGACACTCTTCACAATCTTAACTTTAAGGGAAGCTTTTTGGGGAGGAAAAAAAACCCACTCCCTATGCTACTTCCAGCATCTGCTAATTTGTGCTGGGTGCAGAGAGGAACCAGCGTCTAGCCAGCCTGCTGCAAAAAGAGACGGGCAGTTTGAGTCACGCAGCATCAGGCTTCCCCCTCCAGCTGCCCTGCCTAATTACTGCACCCCCAGGGATCAGTCCCTCCATCCCCCTCCCTGCCCACCCATCCGTCCGTCTGTCCGGAGGTGCCAGCAGGGAGCAGGGGCTGAGCCCTTACCGTTCTGCATGTGCGTGATGAGATCTTTCTTCAGGGCATCTCCACTGATGTCCGAGTCGCTGTCGTTAAAATCGCTGTCGCCTTTGCCGCTGTCTTTGCCACTGAACTTCTCTGCCTCTCGACCGGAGATGGTGTTGAACGAGTGCCCCTTCCAAATGGCCACGGGGGGAGCGGGCTCCTTTCAGAACCACGGCTCTACGATTTGCATCCTCCGAGACCCCCTCCCACCCTCCGACCCCCTTCCCCACGTCAGGACCTTACCTCCCCGCTCGGTCCCCGGAGCCTCTTCTGACCCTCATAGAGGCAAGTGCTGTCACTGCCGCTCTCGGCAGTGGAGATCTCTTCAGCCGCCGGAGAAGGGTCGGGGCTGGTGAAAGAGGCTTTGCTGGGAAAGGTTCGTACCTCAAACACATTCCCCCTCTGGCTGCCCTCCTCCTGCCGGCCCTTCTCCAGGTGGGAGATGTCTATCTGCTCCTTCAAGGAAGCGTTGTTTTTGATCTCGTTCCCCTTCTTGCGCCTGTTGCAGGTGGTGGCGATGGTGATTATAGCCACCAGGAGGAGGGTGCAGCTGCCTGCCAGGACAATGATCACGATCAGAGGGATGTCCCACTGCAAAGCCTTTCCTTCCCAGGAGCTGGGCTTGGCTACCTCCTGGATGCTGGACGGAGCAGTGGCGGTCACCAGGAAGTTGACTGTGGCCGTGGTGGCCAGGGGGGGTCTGCCATTGTCTGTCACAGTGAGGATGACCTTGAACAGCTGTCCCAGCTCTTCAGAGAGGTCGCCCCTCAGCACAATGTCCCCAGTACTCGGGTTGATGGCGAAAAGCTCCTGCTGGGGCTCTTCCAGGAAGGCAAAGGTGAGTTCGGCGTTGGCCCCATCATCTGCGTCTCGAGCTTTGATCTGGGCCACCAGGGAGTCGCGGGAGGTCTTGCTGGACACACCGATTTCCACCGTCCCATTGGTGAGCACCGGGTGGATGATAACAGGAGGGTTGTCGTTCTGGTCCACCATCCTCACTTTGACAAGGGTGCTGCTGGAGAGTTGTGGTGAGCCTCCATCAGTGGCCTGGATCCTCAGGTCCAGCTGCTTGAGGATCTCATAGTTGAACGTCCTGAGGGCATAGATGGCCCCGGTGGCAGGGTCCACCGAGACATAGGTGGAGATGGGGGCCCCCATGACCTGTGTCTCCAGGAGACGGTAGGTGACCTTACCGTTGTGGCCAAGATCGGGGTCGCGGGCCACCACAGTGGTGATGTAGGCACCCGGGGGGTTGTTCTCTGGCACAGCCACCTCATAGAGGGGCTTGGCGAAGAGTGGCGCATTGTCATTCTCATCGCTCACCCGCACTGTGTATTGGCGCACTGTCTTGAAGGGTGGTGAGCCCAGGTCCTCGGCCACCACGGTGAGGTTGTACTCGGGGATGCGCTCGCGGTCCAGTGCCGCAGTGGTGACGATCATGTAGCTGTCCTCATAGGCACGCTGCAGGGCAAAGTGGTCATGGCCACGGAGGCTGCAGCGCACCTGCCCGTTAGCACCCGAGTCACGGTCCGAGGCACTGACAAGGGCCACGAAGCTCTCGCTGGCCGCCGCCTCGCTAACGTAGGCCACGCCGCTGGCGCTGGCGGCACCACGGAGGGCGCTGATGCTGATGCGTGGCGCATTGTCATTGACGTCGGCGAGGCGCACGATGACGGTGCAGGTGGCAGCACGGGGACTGGCACCACGGTCCTGGGCACGTACGTCCAGCTCATAGGTGCGGGCGCGCCCGTAGGCCACC